CTGGCAACTGAAAATATGGAGTTATTTTTCCTATGTGGTTTCACTTTTTTCATTCTATTTGTCACCTTTTCGCTTTTGGCTCTCTTTTCCTCCACCCGGGAGACCAATGGTTGTTGTTCCAACACAAGGCTTCCAGTAGGCCGAACAGGCTTGCAGTTCATCGGCGAGAGCCTGGAGTTTCTGTCGACGGGTCGAAATGGTCACCCTCAGAAGTTCATATATTATAGGATGGCCAAGTACCGCTCTTTAGTGTTTAAAACATCGATACTAGGAAAGCCCATGGCTGTTTTCTGTGGCGCGGCCGGGAACAAGTTCTTGTTCTCGAATGAGAACAAGCTTGTCACCGCGTGGTGGCCGGACTCCGTCAACAAGATATTCCCTTCCTCCATGCAGACGTCTTCGACGGAGGAGTCTAAGAAGATGAGGAAGCTGCTCCCTAATTTCCTCAAACCGGAGGCCTTGCACAGATACGTAGGCATGATGGATTCCATCGCACAAAGACACTTCGAAACTTATTGGGAAGGGCAATCACAAGTATCCATGCTCCCACTGGCGAAGAACTACACCTTCTGGATGGCGAACAAGGTGTTCTTGAGCATGGAGGAACCCGAACACGTCGCGCGATTGGCACGTCCGTTTAACGTTTTGGCCTCCGGTGTTATATCGATCCCCATCGACTTGCCCGGAACACCGTTCAACCGTGCCATCAAGGCTTTGAACATGGTAAGGCAAGAATTGGGTGCCATTATCAGACGAAGGAAGATCGATCTGGCCGAGCAAAAAGCCTCCCCCACGCAAGACATACTGTCACATATGCTGTTAACGTGTGACGAGAATGGAAAATACATGAATGAAATGGATATTGCAGATAAGATTCTTGGTTTGCTTATCGGTGGACACGATACTGCAACTGCTGCCATCACTTTCGTTGTCAAGTACCTTGCTGAGCTACCCGAGATCTACCACAAAGTGCTGAAAGGTAAATCTCTTAGAAATTTTGGTAAATTTTAATTAATCATGAATATCAAGGGATAAAAGTGTGTTTAATTAAAGAATTACATATGCAGAGCAAATGGAGATAGCAGAATCAAAAGCCCCGGGAGAGCTGCTGAATTGGGAAGACATTCAAAAGATGAAGTACTCATGGAACGTAGCATGTGAAGTAACGCGTCTTGCTCCTCCTCTCCAAGGAGCTTTTAGAGAAGCCCTCGATGAATTCATATATGATGGCTTCGCCATTCCAAAGGGTTGGAAGGTCAGTTCGTGAATTGATTTATCTATCAATCTATCTATCTATCTATAATAACGTTTGTGTATATAGTTGTACTGGAGTACGCATTCAACCCATAGAAGTCCAGAATGCTTCCCGGAGCCTAAGAAGTTCGATCCATCGAGGTTCGAAGGAAACGGACCGGCTCCTTACACGTACGTTCCGTTCGGAGGAGGACCGAGAATGTGCCCCGGGAAGGAGTATGCTCGCCTGGAAATACAAGTTTTCATGCACCATATTATCAAGAGGTACAAATGGGAGAAGCTTCTTCCTCATGAGAACATCATTGTAGACCCAATTCCAATTCCGGGGAAAGGCCTGCAAACTCGCCTCTTCCCTCAAACAACCGCCACAGCCTAAATGGTTTTCACCGTCCATTTTCTCGTTTCTCTGAAGTTTAGTAAGTGCTAGCTGCTGTTGCCTACAAAAACACTGATGCAAAGTGCTTGTACGTGTAAGATGTATGTATTACTGCCCAAAAAGACTGTGGTTTGGCCATTGAATAAACATTAGTTTTAAAAGAACCTACAACTCAATCACATTTACTTTAAGTTGTTGTATTATTTGCTTGCTTGTTAATAATGTTTCATCACTTACCAGTCTTTATATAGAGGTTGCAGGTGATTATTGGACTTAATTAAATACATTCATGGATCTCAGTGTTCATGGATTCTAGTATCATGCATGGCAATTCATCACTTGATCTTGAGTTTTCATAAACCCGAGCTTCACAAGATTTGTAGTCAGAGTTGATTCTTTCTATGCTTCGTCCTCAAACTTTTACAATTTTACTCCACAGTATCAACAAGATTACAATTAAACATATTAAATTTCTTCAACACTTGTTTACATAACCTTCTTGCAAGATGAATATATCACCATCTGATTGTTTCACTTCTAGGCTTAAATAATAAGACATTAGCCTCACGCCAGTTGTAACATATTTGATATATCAAACGACTTAAGTAATAATTAAAAATGTACTTTTATTTAAACTTATATTAAAATAAAAAAAATCAATACTATTAAAATAAAAATATTTTAAGAACGATTCATATTTTTTATTTTCTAAATTTTTTAATAATTTTAGTTGAGATATTGAAAACATATTTTTGTGTATGTTTTCAATTTTTTTATTTTCTTATTTTCATTTTTTAATTGTACAAATAAAAAAATTCATTTTTAAAATTCATATTTTTAAGAGAATAAAGATAAAAGTAGTCTCTATTTTCTAAGATCAAAAGAACTTTATTATTTTCTTTTTTCTTTAGGGTAAATTACACCGTTTCTCACTCAACTATACTCTTTCCTATTTTCCTCACCCAACTTTTAATTTGCTCAATTTGCTCACTGAACTTTACAAATTGAATCATTTTTCTCACTCTTCCGTTAATTATTTAACGGCGTTATGATGTGCAACAAGCATCAAAATGTCGTCGTTTTGAAAAACTAAAATATATACCAAAACGACATCGTTTCGAATCCTATATTGAAAGTACATTGAGTAAAATAGGAGAGAGAGTAAAGTTCAGGGAGGAATTGTGTAATTTACCCTTTTTCCTTCTATTCTTCATTTTCTCTCTATCGGTCACCATGTCATTTTCATTCCGGCCACCATTGTTGATGGTGGTTGTTCGGTCCCAAATTTCATGGGTCGGTTCATCTCGACCTTTTGAGTCGGAATCTGGTGGTTGTTTCACCGGAAAATGTCCCAAGACGCGTGAATTTCGACTTAAACTTTTTGGCTTCCTTATTTTTAATCTCAAATTCGTGGACTTCGGAGCAACTTCCAACAAATGGAGGTCGGATTCGGACTCACGATGTTGAGGTTGAAGCGACCCATGAAATTTAGTACCAAACGGTCACCATTTACGACGGTCAACGTTGGTCGACGTGGCATCCGACCACCTTCTGTTTTCATTTAATATTTTTAACTATTTTATATTAAAAAAAAGTTTGCAACATCATCCAGACGTTAGAAAGAAAACGGGAGAGTGATCAAACTGATTCAATATATAAGTTCAGTAAGCAAATTGAGCATTTTGAAATTTGGATGAGGAAAATAGGAGAGAGTATAGTTCAGTGAGAAACAGTGTCATTTACCCTTTTCTTTATTCTACTTCTTTCCTTCTTGTCCGTTCATCCGTTTCTTTTGATGTTACCTTGAAATTAACCCATTAAGAAAATAGAAATTCATGTAATGCGCACTCGTCATTATAGAATGAATCAAATTCAACAAAATTCCGACACTAAGTATTATTTTTGTAATTGATTGCCTTCAATCATAAAGATACAACCAGAAACTTGGAGAAAACATAAATCTTTGCCTATATTGTTTTACACTCTTCGTTGTCTCTTTCACTATATGGATTTTGCGTATCAAACTCATTACTACAAGACAGACGTAACCTTTTCTTAAAAACATAAAAGTTGCGACGTTCAATTTAGATTTTAGGGTTTATGTATTTTAATAATTTAACCTTCCAATTTCTTTAAGTTTATCGGTGACAATAAGTTTGTGTTCATAATCTGTTGAATGTGTATTCTTTCTTATTTTAATGGAGAGTCGCGAGTAGTAAAGAAATGATTATTGATTTTTATGTGAGAAAATGATAAGAAGATGAAGATAGGTAGAATGTAGAAAGTTCGTCTCTTTTTTCGATACTAGTTTGAGATATTTATAGTGACGTTTAGTGTGTGTGAGAAACTAGACATGTTTTATTTTAATTAAATTAAAATTAATTCTTTTTAATTTTATATGATGCTAGAATGTCAGATTGCAAAAAAAAAATTGTAAAAGTAATTGTTTATAAACAATTTTATATCATCTTGGCTTATTTGTATACGTGTTAAATTATTTATTTAAATATTAATTAAAAATATATGATATAATACATTAAAACCTTTTGTTAAAACAACTTTCATATGCAGGCAAAAATGAAGCCATCAAGGGCGGCAGTTAACTGTTGAAATCATTAATTAACAAACAAAAAAAGGAAATATGGAATATATTAGATACTGTTGACATCGCACACACACAAACGAAAAAGCTTCCATTTTGTCTGCTTTCATTTGTCAGTCTTGAAGCCTTCCACTCTTGCCTTGATACCCACTGTTATCGTTCATATATATATATATATATATATATATATATATATTTATAGAGAGAGAGATATGTGTGCATGTATGTATGTATGTATGTATGTATGTATGTATCCCAACATATATATATTATAGATGAATGTATGTATGTATCCCAATATATATAGATAGATAGATAGATGTATGCATGCATGTATCCCAATATATATAGATAGATAGATGTATGCATGTATCCCATGTCCCCATGGGTTTTCTTCCCTCAGCATCTCCTGCTTATATATTCCATTCTTTTCGAAAGTAAGTATTTGTATCTACTTTTTAGTTACTGCTTATGGTTTCTAATGGTATTTTTCACCATTATGACGCAAAGTATTGCCGATTGGCGTTTAATGCCTACTTTATTATGGTAGCTTAGGTAGTTCCATCATATTTATCTTTGTTGTTTTGCATGTTTAATGAGTACAGTGTTTCTCGTTTGGCCAAATGCATGCATTTACAAGTGAAATGCCCCTCTAATAGTTAAAATGAATGTATTCTCAGATGAACTGAATTTGTATCTATTTCTGGTGCCAGTCTTTCTTTGCAACAGGGTTTAGCATACAAGAGGGACTATTAACAGTATAAAGAAATGGCATCATCTTTGGAGGAGCTTCTTGCAGAGGAAGGGTTTAGAGGAAGGACTTCGGTTACGAGGTCGATATTATCCGTCAGGTTAGAGGCTTCGAGCAAGTCGGATTCGGCGTTTAGTAACAGAGCGAAGACCGAGAGGACGAGGTCCGATGTATCTCGGTACAGCTCAAAGGGCGAATTGTCGAGTAGCGATAGCACCACGCATAGGAGGCCAAGAGATTATCTTGTTAGAAAAGAGACACTATATGCTGAAATGAAAAATGGAAATAAAAACAGGCTTGAAAGAGGCTGTGATAGTGATCGGCGAGAGAACGATTTTCGGGAAACGAGATCATTGAGGTAGGAGTCGAAGAAACTGAGAGAGTGAAGGATGTATTCGCTAATGTCGGGCAGCATAGTTTAGAGAGACGAGATAAAAGGAAGGATAATGCTTCTACTAAATACCTACTCGGTCGAAGAAGCTATAGTGATACGCATCGAAACAACTTGAAGCTGCAGGATGCTGCATTTGACAATGCTAATAGAGGTTCACGGAATCGAAAAAGCCTTAAAGATGGCCACCGCGAAAAGCATGATGATCCGGTACCAACTATTCCTCAACCTGCCCTTGATGAAGTTGCTGTTCAAGCAATTGTATCCATCTTATGCAGCTATATTAAACGCTTTCTCCGAGAAAAGGAATTCCGCAATGTCCTTCGTCTCAAATGTTTCTCCTCCCTCGACTTTATCGGACTAGACGACTATGACATTGAAGACAAAGTCATTCTCAATCTTGAGCAAGCAATCGAGACAGTAGAAAAAGCCGTTACAGAGTCTATCAGTGCAAAAGAACTGAAAAAAGCTTCATTGCAGCTTAGAGTTATAACCGGCTTGAATTCGAATGACTTGAAGGACAGCTTCACGAGCGGTTTTCCGAATGCAGTGCTTTCCTCATGTGCTCATCTTTACCTCAGTGTGATATATAAGCTACAAAAGAAGGACAGGGTTTCGGCTAGGCATCTTCTGCAAGTGTTTAGAGATTCACCTTCTCAAGCACGGACGAATCTCTTGCCCGAACTGTGGGATGATTTGTTTCGTCCACATCTTTCACATCTCGAGGCTTGGTACTATCAGGAAGCTAGTTCTCTATCAGATGCACCAAGCAGGGAGCGGAAACTGAAGCTTATTGAGAAAGTGTACAATGAAACCTTGGATTCTAGCACTTACCAATTAGCTTCTTATTACAAGGATTGGCTCACCGAGGGGATTGAAGCTCCTTCTTTCCCTTCCATCCATGTTCCGTCCGTATTCGTCCAAAAAATTCAGCAAGAGGATTCACTTGCTCATTCTCCAGATCTAGCTAGTACAACTAGTCCTTTCTCACCTCAGCCGATGGTGAGTAAAAAGCTATATGATGCTGTATTCGGACGATCCAGTAAACCCGGACTAGAGGAAACCAGAGATAACGAGTTACATTACTACGATACATGCGGGAAAAGCTCAGGTAGCTCTTCTATTTATGTTAAACAAACATTAACGTGCTCTTCAGAGACGGTGAAATATCCATGCCAACATAATGGCGAAGCTTCCTACAGAAGTCTGCAGGATGATGCATCCTCTCTTGTAAGCAACTTTTAACAAATATAAACCCTCATTTTTTGTTCTTTTCAAACTCTTGTGGTCCATTTTGTCTTGCTTTCAACAAATATTTGTTACCGAGTAGAAAATACGGTTCGTATACCGGTGAGACTCTGATAAGATTTCTCGAGATGCAGAACTAGGCAATTAGAAATGAAGCTTATTTAACTATGGTGCAGGAAGATGGCATCTCCTCAACAGCTGAGGAAGAATGGAGACTGCCAGGACTGAGCATGCTGCAAGAAAAAGAAGCTTATAACGTATGGAAGACAACTGCACACGAGTACGATGAGCTACATGCACCTGTTCCTTTAACTGCCAACGAACTCATACTTAAAAGGTTAGCAAAATCGGCATTTCAGTTGCGACGAACTAAGATCACGGATGATCTTACTCTCTCCGGTCTTCCAAACTTTAGTGGAGGTAAGTTGAAGGGAAAACGTTATGAATGCTTGTGTGGTTTTGCTTTATATTCATGGTTTCAAATTGATTGCTCATGTTGATCTTGTCTCGATGCAGAGTTGTATGAAACTTATGGATGTTCTGATGAAGAATCCTTAATCTCAAGCATACACAAGGACTTTATTTGTCCTCTGACAGGAAAGTTGTTCGAAGACCCGGTGACTCTGGAGACGGGTCAAACCTTTGAGAGAGTGGCCATCAAGGAGTGGTTCAATCAGGGGAAAAAAACCTTTCCAGTAACAGGGAAATCATTGGATTATCTGTCGGTGCCGCATACCAACGTTGTTTTGAAATGTGTAATCGACAGATGGAAATCGGAAAATTGTACCAAAAACTTGGCATTGGCCTTTCATATAGTTGGTAATTCGAAGGAACTTGGGTTACCAAGGAGGGGGGAAACGGCTGTATTCATTTTAGACCAGTTTCTTGCCACTTTAAGCAAAGAAGAAAGAATAATGAATACCAAACACCTTATTTCTCTCGGAGCTTTGCCATTTCTCATTCAAAGGTTTAAACCAGGAAACATGGAAGAGAACGTATGCGGCGCAACACTTCTTTCCTGTTGCATCGAAGCAGATTCAGTCTGCAGATATCAAATAGCGAGAGACATTAACAAACAGTGTCTATTCGAGCTGGTTTGCAGCAAGCAAGTAAATTCGAGGACAAATGCAGTGTTGTTACTGACAGAACTGATATGCTTGAGCAGGTTTGTGATATTTAAATTTATGAAAGCATGGCCTAGTTATGAGTGAAGAATGAGAGATTTCATTCGATATTGATTCGGGTGAGCGCCGTCTGTTCTATCACTGATTCTGGGTCTCGTTTTCACGTTATCAGGAGGAAAGATGTCCCACTACTACTAAGTGACTTGCAGGATGAAGATATAACGAATACTATGCATGCTATTCATGATTATCTCCAAAATTCTCCTCTTGTACAAAGACCCTTGGTTGCCACACTGTTGTTGAACATAGATCTGCTGGTAAGCTTATTAGATTTAGTAGTATATTGTATATGTTGATTCATTTTTTTTCTTCATATTATTGAATCTCTTATTTTCTTTTCATTTTAACTGCGATTAACATGTACTGCAGGTAGATCCTAAAAAATATGGCTTATACAGACATCAGGCTGTTGATGCCATTACAGAAGCACTGGATAGCAGCTTAATCGATGAGGAGGTTCGAGAAAAATGTTGCAGAGCACTACTTATCCTGGGAGGACGTTTTTCTTTGTCGGGGAAGTTATTGACAGAGGACTGGATTCTGAATGTAGCTGGGTTCAAAGATGGCCGTGAAGCTAACTCTATCGAAAAAGAAGCAGATTTAGATATTGGTGACAGTACTCTATCAGTAAGTTTCATCTCTAAGTTCCATTCACCATTATTTCTCCTTTATTCCATAATATTCATATGAGACTGGTGTAATTGTCCATTCTTCTATAATAACCAGGAAGATGAAGAACATGCCATTGCGGAGTGGTTGAGGAATTTGTTGGCATCACTAGTTCGAAGCGGCAACAAGTCATTTTTAGAGGCTATTTCCAGCTGTTTAGGCTCGGGAAACGGGGATTTGGTGACTGCTTGCCTAGCAACTGTAGCATGGTTGACCGGCGTATTACAATCACCAACTGATGATACCAAGTTGCAGCAGACCTTATGCACTCTTATCTCCCAGCTCAAACAAAACCTTGAAAGTGGTGCACAAGTTCACCACAAGATTTTTGCTTCGATGTCTTTGCTGAACTTAAGTAAAATCCCAGGTTAGAAAATATTCTTCACTACGTTTCTTTAATTTCGGCCCTCACTCATGCCCTTAATATATTTAACCATCTTTTTCAAACCAGAGGAATTGGCTTACGGAAACTATAAGTGGTTCGGATTTGAAACAATTAAGTTCAGGCTGTGGTTTAAACGAATAACATGACCATCTATATTATGAGTTGCAGAATACAGGGTCCTGCTAATGACGATTGCAGAAGATATGGCGAGCCCTCTAAGAAGCCTTGCTGATGTAACATGGACAGCAAAGGAGCTACATGGCATAATTTATTGTACTACAGACCTCTAAATTCCAGGAAGAAGATGCTGATTTGTCGCTTCACAGCTTTAAAGTTTCGAATATATTTCTGTTTTTTAAATGTCATATACTGCTGTAAACATGTAGAGAAAGTTTTTTAGTTTTCTAATTGATTCTTAGAACAACTATTTATGGAAATTTCATCACATATTAGGAAAAATACTGTGACATTGTCAAAAGAAGTAATGTCTTTAGTTGTTCTTCTGAACAGTAGACTCATTTTCGAGCAATAATGGATGGATGGTCGCCAGCAGGTAAGTTAGATTAGGTATGCATGGAAAAAATCGTCAAACATTAGAAAAGAAAACAAGAAAATTGAGACTTCAAGCTACCATTATATTCGGAAAAAACAAAAACTCATAGTACAGCAAAATAAACAGAAAAATGTTTTTACCTAACATAAAACATGAGGAAATCATATTCCAGCTTTGCGTAGCTCTTCAGCTCCATGAGCAAAATGACACCTATCACCAAAAGTGCAGGATCCTTTGGAAAAGCTCTAGCAAAGCTTAGTCCTGAAGTTGTTAGCTGAACTCGAGCCACCAATAGTAGGATTCTTCTTGCTATTTCCAAAGGATGAACTAACATTTAAAATGAGTTCTCGAACCATTGCACTAGCTTGATTGATCTGATCAAATGTTCCCTCCAGCTCAATGTTCTTGGAACTAGGATCTGACTCGTTGTCTCTTAATGGAAAACTTAGCTCCCGTAACACAATAAATATGCTTCGAGTTCACACCATTTTTACCAATGATAGCTCCTGCAAGAGATGCATCAATGCTGATCTTGGCAGTGGCAGATGCTCCAAAGCCGGCTGCAGCACCAAGACCCTGTGAGGGTGGCTCCATCCTACCAGCCATCCTTCCTGGCATAGATCCCATAGCACGAGGATCTTCATAAGAAGGACCAATTCGCTTGCCAAGCTCCCACTCCCCATGGGCAAAATGGCACTTGTCACCGTACTTGCAACCTTCAGGGCTGCTGAATTTGTTGTACAAACGGGTTTTCACAGCTGGAGGAGATGAGCCTCGGGGAAGGACAGTGGAACTGCTGTATTTATGGAAGCGGTAGGAAAAGCTGGGTTGCTACCAAGCATCTGAGACGCCACTTTGATGCCACCAGGAACATAGTGCAAGAAGTGACAGCTCACACCAAACGGGCACCCAGAAGTGCTGTGGACAAAACTCATGTATCAGGCAAACATCAATGAAATACAATTTTACTAATGCTATAATATCAAGTATCAGTTATTATATATATAAACACAGTGAAACTTCATAAAATTATGGATTGATCAAGGCTCTTCAAGCATTTCAAGCATTTGTAAACTCATGCAATACTAAGAACATGCCACAACCCTTTATAATTTCCCAGAACCAATCAAATCAATAATCCCATTAAACAATAGCAACTTCGGGAAGAAAAAAGTCATAATTTTGAGACTTCAATCTAGTGGTTATTTCCTCCCCCTACTAAGTTGTAAAACTGGAGAGTTTGATAGGAGAAAAATTTTCAAGATCAGGCAGCCAACAAGTGTAACACTGATAGCTATAACAATAATAATAGCATTATCAAATGTTATCCTCGAAATTTTAGAAGTACCCTTTTCACCAATTCTCCTCAACATCTTGTTAATTGAACTAAATAAAAAGTCAGTGATGTATGTGTGAAAATTTCAACCACAGAATACTACATGATCTAGAGAAAATCAAGATGCATTCTTACTTTCCCTCCAAGAGAAAGATAAAAATCTATCCAGAATCAAATAACTGCACACAAACCAGATTAATATCATCACAGATTATCAATTTATGTACATAAAGGAAATTTAGGTATTGATTATGATGTGCATACTGGAAAATATTAGAATTGACAAAGCTATTGATTTTACAGGAGAAAAAGTTAATATGTATTAATAGTCACAACTCGACAACGGGGAAATCCCTTATCCCTTCCCATATGAACTTGACTTGAAATAGAAATTTTGCACAGACACATAAGAATGCAATGAGGAAATAGAAGTACTAGATAAACACAGAACTCAACCAGTGAATAATATCCAAAAGCATATTCTCAGAATCTAGAGATTATTTAAAGAGGGAAAAAACAGAAACCAAGATCAGAAAAGAACACTGACAATTTAAAAAATAATCTATACATACTAATTATTTATTAATCGAGTAAATGGTTGGGGTACTCTAAAATTACACCATATTCAACAGAAATTTAATAAAAATATTCGACAAGAAAATCCTCAAAAATATATACTACTTAAATTACACCATGTAAGAGTAACGAGAGGATTGTTAACTAAACTTAAAGAAATGGAACAGCTAAGAAGGATTGGGCTTGGTGGACTGACAGAAGCCGATGAGGAGAATTTGTGCATCTCTACTCAATGAATGCAACACCTTCACTACTTATGGTTGACTTCACAGCCTCAGGTTGCACTAAAGCTGGATGCTCTTCCATCAGCCCCTCCATAACTTGATAAGCTCTATCTAGTTGGGAAATTGGGGAAAGTGCCACATTGGTTTAACACCATACTCAACCTCAAACTCTTGTCCCTACAGGGCTCTCAACTGGGCAAAGACGCAATTTCTCACGTCCAGACCTTACCTAATTTATTGCGACTTAATCTTTTGGGAAATGCATTTGTGGGAGAGCACTTACGTTTCGTTGAAGGGTTCAAAAAGCTTATTTGCTTACATTTAAGCGGATTATCTCAGCTGAAGGAGATTATGATAGAGAATATCTGCCCTTGAATTATTGATTGTCTTGAGATGCAATGGGTTGAGGCGATTACCATGCAGTTGGGAACATCAAACTCATTTGAAGACGGTGCAATTTCATGATGTTTCGAGTGAGCTGGTGAAGTGCATATGCGAAAAAGGAACTGACCACCTCCCCACTAAGCCACACATCCTCCTCACCATAATTGGTGAAGATGAAGCAGAAGAAGAATCCAAGTGGGTACATCAAATCCTCAATTAATTGATGTTTGTACAATCCCAGGTACCATAAACCACGACAAAATGCCACTAAATTCTTATTTAACACACGAATTAACAATTAATGATAAATAACTTATTTTCTTTTCCTAACCTTGCAGAAGTACATCAAGATATTCATGGATTGGCTGACTGGTTAAGCTCTGGTTCGAAGAGAATTCAAGCATTTTCCATATATACATGCATTTACTTAATTTGAATAGAGTTTAAACAATTGTTAAACCTGAGTTAATCATATATCTTATGATAACCAGGCAGGCACCGAGTGTTTGAATATTGTTTTATTAATATATTTATTCAAATAATTCTTAAACTTATTATTCGCTCAGATGATGATACGACCATAATAACAAAACTCTATTATTCACTAGGCTATTCATGTGCTTACAGAGCATCTTTCAAAAACAAAGGTACTTCTATTAAAAATAACATGGAACAAAAATCTAAAATAATAAGCATAAAATGGCTTTACACGATCATCTTACAGCACACATAAACAAGAAAACAGAACGATAGCTTACAAGGCTATTTAGGTTCTTATTAAGCCTCTTCACAAGCAAATGACAACAATTTGAACAAAATAACGTGCAAGCTCGAAATTTATTTCATTGATAGCATGAAAAGACTCTACGCATATGACAGGAACAATCTGAAAATCTTACAACAAACAAAAGAAAAAAAAATTAAAAGGATATAGGAAAGAGGTTGGGAATACCCTATTACGATAAACCGATATTTGATACAAATGTTTTGACAGAAGTAGATCAATATTCTTCACCGTCATCTTCATCTTCATCATCTCCACCTTCAGCGCCAACTTCTTCATAATCCTTCTCAAGAGCAGCCAGATCCTCACGGGCTTCAGAGAATTCACCTTCTTCCATGCCCTCACCAACATACCAATGCACAAAAGCTCTCTTCGAGTACATGAGATCAAACTTGTGGTCAATCCGTGCAAACACCTCAGCCACCGCTGTGTTATTGCTTATCATGCAAACAGCTCGCTGCACCTTAGCGAGATCTCCTCCAGGAACAACGGTTGGAGGCTGATAGTTGATACCGCATTTGAAACCAGTTGGGCACCTACACACTCCAAAGAATTTTCAGAAAACAAAGTATTGGGCACAATGGTACATTCAACATAATGTGCTGCAGTAAATTAGCAATTTCTATGCCCGCATTAATCCTTGGACATTCTATAACCTCCTAAGGGAATAAATATCAACGCCTCACAGCATGAGATGCATAGGATATTCGGAATAGTTCATAAAGAATTCAAGCATCCAAAGAGGACAATATAGTTCATAAAGAATTCAAGCATCCAAAGAGGACAATAACTGATGGCGGGGACAATTCGACTTTCGGCACGAGAGATTTAAAAAGTAAAAATCAAAATCATTTTTTCTAGTCATTGAACAACTTGAACTACAAAGCAGAAATAGAAATGTTCTTTACCAGTCAACAAACTGCACAGTCCTCTTTGTTTTGATAGTAGCAACAGCCGCATTAACATCCTTGGGCACAACATCGCCACGATACATCAGGCAGCATGCCATGTACTTCCCATGCCTAGGGTCGCACTTCGCCATCATGCTCGAGGGCTCAAACACGGCATTTGTGATCTCAGGAACTGATAACTGTTCATGGTATGCTTTCTCAGCTGAGATAACAGGGGCGTATGAAGAGAGCATGAAATGGATACGAGGATATGGAACAAGATTGGTTTGGAACTCTGTAACGTCCACATTAATGGCTCCATCAAACCTCAAAGAAGTCGTCAAGGACGATATGATTTGTGATATCAATCGGTTTAAATTGGTGTAAGTCGGCCTCTCGATATCAAGGGATCTTCGGCATATGTCATAAATTGCTTCATTGTCCAAGAGCACAGCCACATCTGTATGCTCAAGAAGTGAATGTGTGGACAGAACGCTATTGTAAGGCTCTACAACTGCTGTTGAGACCTGCAAATTTAACAAGAGAAAACCTTGAGTTTATCAACTTTCATGTGTCAAAAAACTTTTTTTTTTATAGGAATAGTAGGTCTCATTAAAAACCTCCTTCTTAGTAGTCATTTACCATAAGGTTAGAACCGACTAGCGGAAGGAGGAAAAAAGTACCTCAATATATTGATTTCAAAAAATTACAAAAGACTTAAACCACTCGTTGAAGATACATAAGACTTAAACTCACTCATATAACACCCTCGGAATAACACCTCCGAACCTAGTACAACAAATTGAACCACTACCCAATCCCCTCCTTAGCTAGCAAATCTGCCTCGCTATTACAACTTCTCGGAATCCACCTCACAATGACTTCATTCTCAGAAACCGCATCCGCAATATCCTTTACAAACTTACAAAGATAAAGTGGAACTGACTCCTGAAATTTCAACCAATCGACGGCTAACTTACAATCACTTTCAATAATAAGCCTACCCTTCAAAACCAATTCTAATGCCACAAAGATGTCTAAACCTCTTTTGATAGCTTTCAACTCTGCCAAAATGATAGGACTAGAACCTAATTTTTCTGAGAACGACATAAGCTTGACCTAATTCCAATCTCTTAGAATTCCCCCAATTCCAGCTAACATCCCAACAGAACTCACAGCTCCATCCACGTTAAACTTAAAAAAATCGACTGGAGGAGGACTCCAGCAAAGCACAGGCCTGTTAAAATCCATAGTGGCTGAAATTTTATCAGCCAATGAAGGATCCCCAATTAAAGAATCCACTTGGATAGAGAGTAAAGGATACTTAGCGAGGAACCATTTCGCTAACCTTAACCTAACTGTGAAAAACAATGAGGATGTATCCAGCTTACCTCTTTCAAAAATAATTTCATTTCGCATCTTCCAAATTGACCATAAAACAGCCCCCGGGATAAACTTCCACATATTAGAATAAGGCCTTAGAACATACCATGAATTTAGAACTGAAGATGGATCAGCAGGTAAGGCTAATTTGATACCCCAATAACATATGATTTTGTTCCATAATACCCACGAAATCTGGCAGGAAATAAACAGGTGTTGAATTGATTCTTCAACTTGATTGCAAAAGGGGCATTGAATGTCCTCCCCCAAAGGAACCCCCCTTTTCTTCAATTCCACTCTAACCGCTAATTTATTAAGTGATACTTGCCAAAGGAAAACCTCTACTCAAGGAGGAACCAGACCCTACCAAACACATTTAGTCCATCTAAAGGGATCCTCATCAGTTGGGTAGAATGATTTCGTGCAAGCTTTGACAGAATATAACCCCTCACCCACATCGTCCCAAAGCATACAATCCTCCAAAGAATCATTTAATTTGATATCCTTGAGCCTATCCAATAATTCAACCAGTTGCACCACTTCCCAATCACATAAATTCCTCCTAGTCTTAATATTCCACTCCCATCCATTCGAATCAAAGCTGCCAAAATCAGCAACCTTACCCCCTTGATTAAATGAAAGGGCAAAAATCCTAGGATAAAGAACTTTCAAAGGAAAATTCCCTAACCATGTATCATTCCAAAAGGAAATCGAATTTCCATTCCCAGCTTGTAGCCTCGCATGTGATCTAATGCATCCTCCAATGAAATCATTCTTCATGTAGCTATTCACAATACCTCTTCAAATCCAAGAGTCCTTGTGGGATAAGACTTTGTTGACATCCATGGAGTTACAACTAACACTATGTTTAGAACATATGAAATTCTTCCACAATGAATCTTTATCATTTGCAAATTTCCAAACCCACTTTCCCAACAAAGCTCTATTAGTAAGTTTCAAATCAACGACTCCTAGACCACCTCCACTCTTTGGTTTACAAATCTTATTCCAACTCACCCAATGCATTTTCTTCTTCTCCTCCCCTCCACCCCATAAAAAATTCGCCATCAAAGAGTTTAATTTTTGACAAATCTTATATGGAATCTGGAAAATTGAAAGATAAAAAATAGGTAAGGAGGATAATACCGACTTAATAAGCATCAATCTACTAGCCATGGACAAAGAGGAAGCTTTCCATCCCGCCAATTTCTTATCAAAGTTGGCAATTACCGGCTCCCACAGTTTTTCACAATTCCTTTTAGCTCCTAACGGAAGGCCTAAAATATACTGTCGGAAAGGTACCAATAGAGCAGCCAATGTCCTTAGCCCAATTTCCAAGGATGTCCTCCTCCACATTAATACCATAAAGTTTACTTTTAACTAAATTAAGATGAAGCCCCGTCATAACACTAAAAATCATCAACACTCGTCTAACATTTTTAATTTGAGTGATGGAGGCTCGGCAAAAGATAATTAAGTCGTCAGCAAACTGGAGGTGAGTCAAATTGAAACTGTTTTGAATCTTTCCAAAAGAAAACCCTTGAAATAAGCCTAAATCCACAGCTTTAGTTAACATCATATGAAGAAGTTCACCAACCACATTAAACAAAAGAGGAGAAAGACTGCATCCTTGTCGCAAACCTTTCGCAATATGAAACTCTTTTGTAGGAGACCCATTCAGTAAAACAGATATTGATGCTGTGGAAATACACTGCTCAATCCAAGAACACCACCTTTCTCCGAAGCCCATCTCCTTCATAAGCCTTAACAAAATCTGCCAATCCACAGTGTCATAAGCTCTACTGAAATCCACTTTAAAAACAACCCCCTGCAGCCCTTGTTTCCTCCAATAATCGATGCCTTCATTGGCTACATAGGCACAATCCAACAATTGCCTCCCAAAAATAAAAGCGAACTGTGTAGGACTAACAATATCTTTAACACAAGATGACATTCTTTTTTAAAGGACTTTTAGAAAGAATCTTATGCAAGCTGCCCACTAGACTAATAGGTCTATAATCCTCAATACTATCCAGATTACCTTTCTTTGGAATCAAGGTAATAAATGCATGATTTACCCCATGAACCCACTGCTTACCATTGAAGAAATCTGTAAAAAAACTCCATAATCTTCACCTTTAGCAACTTCCAATACTTCTTGTAAAAACCCATGGTGAAACCATCCGGCCCAGGATCTTTTGCACTTTCAGAAGATGAAATTGCTTGCCAGACTTCTTGCTCTGTAAACACCTCCTCTAGGAAATCAGATTGAGATTGAGACAACTGCTTAAAATCAAAATTCAGTCCCTCAACTTCCAGTGTTGTTTTCTCATTGTAGGCATTCTTGAAAAAATTAAACACACTGACTTTTATCTGTTCTAGATCCGAGATTAAATTGCCTTTAAATTTGATAGAGTGAATAGAGTTGATTCTATTCCTTTTCATAGCACTCAAGTGAAAAAACCTTGTATTCCTGTCGCCATCCTTAATCCATCTATTTCTGGATTTTTGAAACCAAATCCTCTCCTCGATCCTTAACAGTCTCCATAATTCCTTTTTAAGTTCAATCAATTGGTCCCATTCCCCTATAGACAAATTTCCACCTTGACACTTTAAGTCCAAACTATTGCTTTTAATTTCCAGCAACGAAATGGACTCTGCCAGTCCTAAATGTCCACTTCCAAACCAGTTCCTGATTTTATTTTTTGCACCATGCAGCATTCTGAAAATTCCACCACTATTATTCTTCTTATCTTCTACTTCCAGAGAATCAGCAACTAAGTCATAAAACCTTGTTCTTCTAACAGAAAATTAAAAAACCTAAAAGGTTTTGGACCCCAATTTGTAGATTTATCCTCCAACAAAACTGGATTATGGTCTGAAATAGATTTCGGTAAAAGAAACTGCACAATGCTAGGGAAATTCTTAAGGAATCTTGCACAGATTAAGAACCGGTCTAGTCTCACCCATGTTAAATCTTCTCTATTGTTGCACCAAGTGAAAGAACCTCCTGACATAGATAAGTTAATAAGGTTGGCATTTTGCACAAATGACCTGAAAATATCGATAGTATGCCAATTTTGTGACTTCCCTATCTTTTCTTCCGAATCAAGATACGCATTGAAATCTCCCCCTAGGCAAACTGGTAAATTTTGAGCTCTAACAAAATTCAACAGCTCCCCATAAAAATCCTCCTTCTCAGCTTCAACTGAAGGCCCATAAACATTGATAACTACAAACTCCATTGTACCATTATTATATTTTCCCACTTATGCTAACTCCATTGAATAATTATAAAGAAAAAGCTGTCTCAACATGCATACATGACTTATTTGCCAAACAAAATCAACTTTAGAATTTCATGCCAAGTAATAACAGCTTGAATTGGTACTGACCGTTCCATTAGAACTACTTAACTAAGTTAGCATAAGTGATCCTATAAATACACCTGCAAAGTTGTTTCAAAGGCTAAATATAAAGTAGATATGGCATACTGAAAATGGAGATGTTCATGAGTTAGCAGTAATCAAAACAGCCAAGTACCTGCGGTGAAGGATAGATGGTGAACCCAAGCTTTGATTTCTTTCCATAATCTACCGACAAACGTTCCAACAACAAAGATCCCAGACCGGATCCGGTTCCACCGCCGACAGCATTAAACACCATGAACCCTTGCAACCCAGTGCAGTTATCAGCTAACTTCCTAACTCGGTCAAGGCATAGATCCACAATTTCCTTGCCAACTGCAAAAACAACACAAAGCCTAATCAATGCAAGCCAACAAACAACAAGAACGAATTTAAGCACAGGGGAAAACGATGTTTTCTTACTTGTATAGTGCCCCCTGGCAAAATTGTTAGCAGCATCTTCCTTCCCCGAAATAAGCTGCTCGGGGTGAAAAAGTTGCCGGTAAGGACCGGTTCTAACTTCATCGATGACAGTGGGTTCCAGATCCACAAACACAGCTCTCGGCACGTGCTTTCCCGAGCCCGTTTCGCTGAAGAAAGTGTTGAAAGCATCGTGCGCCACACCCACCGAGGTATCACTGCAATGCCACTCACAAGATCCAATTTCTTTTTGTTAACAGTGAAATGGGTTCATGAATTTAGATCCCAAAAAGAGAAAAATAAAAGAAGAAGAAGGAAACCCGGGCATGGTTCCATCGGGGTGGATTTCATGTTCGAGACAGTAAAGCTCCCAGCAGGAATTCCCGACCTGGATACCGGCTTGGCCAATGTGGACGCTAATAATTTCTCATCGTTGCTTGTTTTCTTGGTTTAGTCAAAATGAGTGAAGATCTGGGATTAGGTGATCCGATACAAAGGGATCTGAGCTTAATCCGATCGGATCTGATGGGAAAGGGAATGGAACTATGGGAGAAGCAAAGGGATAAGGAGTGAAGTGAACCCAAGGCCGAGAACGTGACAATTATACAAAAAAAAGTCTGCCCTTTAAGTTCGGGAAATTACGAAATGGGCCGGCAAACCGACAAATATTGATCTGTCATTCTTATTATAATTAGGGTTGCAAGTAATAAAAATTGAGAAATTCGAATATTAAATGGTAGGGAAACTTACACATTTAGTATATCAATTATTATTTTCATTTTATTTGATCATTATTTTTTATTTAAAAATTATATTTATTATTATATTTTATTTTCATTATTATTAAGAAATTAACGATGATGTTGATGTGTCATCATAAGTATAATCATATCATCATTGAAATTTTAAAAAAAATATCATATCATTTATTACCTTTTTTTAACTAGGAGTAACCAGAATAAAATTAAAATATAACATTTTAAGTGTGGTTTTGAAAAAAAATTGAGTGATCAAAATGAAATAGCAGTGATAGTTAAAGTACTAAAGTGTAGTTTACCCTAGGTTGCATATAATTGTTCGAACTGATTGTATTTTTTTCTACGTTACATATGATATCATTGAACTTTAGGTGATATATCGTTTATATAGTTGAATTTTTTTTTGTCCTCTTGATTTCAAAACTTCGTTTTGACTAATTCAGACTGAATCGTGTCGCACATCTAATTTTAATGAATGAGTCTTTTATAATTACATATAATATTTAAATAATAATAATTTTAGGACATAGTACATTAAATTATAAATAAGAGACTTATCGTTAAAAATGAAATTGGCGTTAATTTTTTAGTTAACATAAACTTGAATTTTTAATACGAATCTAAGGGAAGTTCATAAGAATTAAATTCATAAAAAATATATAACTTTCTAAATTATAATATTATAATGTCGATTAAGAGTTCATTCTATTGGTATGCTTACTATTCATAAATTAAAATTCAAAACAAGTTTTTTTTTCTTTCTTTTTTTAATATTAAACTATTTTAACTTTCGAGATCATGAATAGTTTTAGGGTAAATTATCTCTAAGACCATTAACTTATTAGATTGATTATACTTTACCCATTGAATTAAAATTTTTATCAATTAAGTAATTATACTCAATTTAGTTTCAATCAAATAATTGACTAGCAAATTTTGTCAATTAGATGACTAAAAGTACTGTCAATTAGGTAATTGAAAATTTCACAGGGGTAATACATGGAAAATTTTCATTATATTGGATATAGATGATCAAAACTCGATTCGACTCAAAAATTATTAATGATTAAGGAGCCAATTGACATTGGTGGTTAAGGAATTGTTATTATTATTTGACTAACTGGGATTTGAGCACCATAAATATCAGAAGTATGAGCATTCAATATCAAATGATTGAAGTTATCTTTAAACATGTACTAATTTATAATTACCCTAGATTAATAAAAAAAAATAACATCATAAATATGTTATGCAATTTTAGATGATATTTGATTTATTAAATATCATTACAAATCTTACTTACACGAGGAAGATTACGAATAAATATTTATGTATATATATATATGATTAGAAAATCATTTAAACTAAAATCCAAAATAAGTAATTATATTCAAATTTAAACAGAAACTAAATAAATATATATAATTTTATTTAAATTTCATAAACCCGATTTGAATTAAACATTTTTAAATAAAATTTAAATTAATAAAACTTTTGTTTGGAAGCAACACTTCTAGTCTGCTTCATTATTACAAATCATCTGTTTATACTCTTGATTTTCACGGACCAGTCACGATCCAAATAAGAATCTATGCGTTGAAAAATGAGAAAGTTCCTATATTTTCCTTTATCCAACAATACCTTTGTTGTGTGATACTATCTGTTTCAATTTGTACATTTTCAATTTCTAGCTCCCAAGCAGCCTCAAGCCCCCAAAGTTCAGCCTCTAGGGTATTGCAAATGCCTATCTTAATCTAAGATACCTTTATTCCTCTTGTTCCATAACAACTAGAGAAACTGACGAAAAAGGTAAACATTTGAAGCTAACTTTTTAGTAAATAAATCCAACTTTTGACTATATATATATATATATATAGGTAGATAGATAATAACTGGGCCTAATGAGTTCTAAAGTCCAGTAGATGAGCACAGCCGAAGTTGTGTTTTGCAGATGGATATCTTTCTTTATTTTGTAACTGGTGGAAACCGTGGAACCCTTGGTTTTGTGTTTTGAAATACAGGCCAGTCAACAGCTTTTTCCTCCATTATTCATTACCCAAACCCAGGTTAGTATGCTTATTCTATTGCACTTTGTTAGCTTTTGCATATCGTATTCCTTTTCATCTTCTTCTTGTTGAAAGCAGTTTTTTATATCATATGTTTTTGAGACGACTGTATAGAAAAATAAATGCATTCAGCTTCGGGATGATTTGAAGACTCTGGTTTAGTGACTCAGATTCATCACCCTGTCATTCCAAAAATGGAGGAGCAATCGTTTTTTGATAGAATGATCACGCACCTCCGTTCATCTTGCAAGTAATATTGTTTTTCGTTTTTCTTTATTTATGCAATTTTTGATTCAATTTTCATTTGAATAACATTTTAAGTTTTGTTAATTGTTTAAAGGTATTATACTGGTTATCCTAAGGATTTTGGGCCGTCACGGGTTATCCATTTCACATCCGAGCGTGAATTTGTGCAGCTCCTTCACAAGGCCGTCCTGTTGTTGTTGCATTCACTATTAGGTTATCTAAAACCCCAAATCCCTTATTTTTTATCACACCTTTTTGTATACATCCCCGGCTCATCCTTTATATCTTTGTTTTTCATATTGCAGGGGGAACTATACAAAGCATCTTGACAAAGTACTGGAGGAAGCTGCTGCTGAATTCTATCCAAATGTTAAATTTATGCGCGTAATTTTTCCTTTTTCCTTCTGATAATGTTACCGGTCATTACTCGTTTCCCTTTTACAATTTCATCGTAGTGCAGCTGTTCTTAGTATAAATACTTGTCCAACATTAGCTAATATCCAGCTACTTTCGACTTTGAAGCTTTGAATTTGAACCTTGGGGATCTGGGAATGGGATTTATGAAATTTGGAAGGCTTATGTCCCCGGATCAAGCCCATTTCTAAAGAGCTTTTATGCACCCAAACTACTATTGCACCTTAGTACAACCCCTAATTTTTGTAGTGATGACTGTGATACAGGGATAGTATTTGTGTTAACTTACTATAGGTTACTTTCTTTATTCTTTCCTTACACTCACATTTTAGTTTCTTGTGTTATTCTCCTCCAGGTTGAGTGCCCAAAATATCCTGGGTTTTGTATAACACGGCAGAAGAAGGAATATCCATTCATTGAAATATTTCATAGTCCGGAGCAAGTATGCTGCTTCTCTTTATTTATATTTTCTCCCTCTACTGTGCTATTTGCTTGTTTTGGTCTGTTGTAACCATTTGCCATTAACTGGTTAAAGCATCCAGAACTTAATGTTGTGTAGTTAGGAGTTGGTCAAGTAGTGCATGATTTTTGTATAACATCCGTAAGCCTAACAGTTGCTAAAACTATAATAACCTGAATAGTTGTTTGCACTTTCTACTACCTTGCTATTTCTGATTCAGTTATGGCTTCTTAACCAGTAGGCCTTTATAGAATCAGAGCACATAGCCAAATCATTGTGGTTTGCTCCTGCAAAGCATTGTTGCTTGTGAAGGTTTTGCATTGCAGCCTTGCTGGTCATGATCATATGAATAACTTATCTGGTGAAATAAAATAAAATAAAATAATGGAAACGAAAGGAAAAGAAAGAAATAGAGGAACCAGAACTCTTTCTCTTTTCCAAGTTTATGAAAAAAATAGTTCCCATATATTCTGTTTTGCCTGTAATTTTGCGAGGTAAATGATGCATAAACTTGGGACAGTGTGTTGGTGTAGGGAAAAACCAAAAGTCAAAAGAAAGAAGGGTACGCTACTGCTGTCAAGTGTTAATGACAAGAATATAGCTGCCACTGCATGATATTCTTTAGTGTCTGCTTTCTGCTAAATTCCAAATTAAAACAAATTTGAAATTACGAACCTCTTATTTCCATCTTGTGGCCAGTAAACCAATATGAATGTATATTTTATCAGTTTGAATATGCTATGGGGTTTGGTTAAGCTGCAGTGAGCAGGTGAGTGACATGATATAGGCAAGATTAGACTTTGTGGAACCATGGAGTTGTTCCCTTTCAATGGTTAGTCCTTGAGAGTGAGTTTTTGATAAATAAAAATGAAACACGTAAGCTGCATTCAAATGAATCTTTCGAGTGCAAAATATGTTTTAACCCATATCCTATGTTGGAGTCTACTATTTGTAATAATGTCAGAGTTCATGCCTACATGTTTTTGAATATTGAATATTGTCAATTTGCAGCAAATGATTTGTTGTAGATATTTATGTCTAAATCTTGCCACATGGTGGCCAATTTACATTGTTATCATTTAAAAAGAAATTCTATTGCAGGCTGTAAACCAAGGAGGGTTGCTGATCCAATATCACAAGATACTCTGTAAAAGTTCTTCCTGTGAGTTCTTTTTTATCCTTTTCCCCTAAAATTCCTTAGCATCACCGGTACCCTCAACGGTTCTTGAATTGTTTGCTTTGCAATATGTTTCCGTATGAAAATTCGGTTGAGATAAACTTTCACACATTTAATCTGCTTATATATAGTTATATACATATATAGATACTGCAAGCAAAGGTTCTTATGTTAATGCTTTTCATATATTAGGTTTGTGAGCATTATGTACATCAAATTGCATACATGTGCCCATTGTTAGTTTCATGTATTTGTCCCTTGGTGTCATAACAACACGAGTGTTATTTCCAGAAAACAATCTAGAATTTCACAATGGTATATGCATATAAATTCTGGTAAACAAAAGTGAGTATACACATGTTTCGCTGAAGCAGTATTCTTTCTTTAGCCATGAGTTCCTTCTCTGTATCATCGTTACTATTCGATATCCTAATAGTTTCTGTTCTTACATCTATGGTATTCAGTTCAATTATGATCTCAGCGCTAATGGATTTAGAGAATTCTTCAAGCGCCACGGGGTTCAGACATCGGATCCGAAGTAAA